TTGGTAGCGCTTGATGGCACTCGGAGATCAACTGGAGCATTGATAGCATCCTCTACGCTGACAACGAATTGTTTCTGCAAAGGCCGTAGCAGTCCCTTTACCTAGGATATTTGAACGCTTATGCCTCTGGCGCGACCCAACAGTGCCCACACGCACGCTCGAATCGAAGAAATATTCAAGCGCTCGGTCCCGCACGGTATACCCTTTCGCTTCCAACATGAATTTTTCCAATCACCACCCTGCTCGAACCTCCAAACTCGATAATCCTTACTGTCGTCGAATGCCATGTAACGGTCATCCCACTCGTTGGTTGTGATATGATGATACGACTTGTATCCCCAATCTTGCAACTTCTCGCTGGCTTCCACGAGAGGCATGTTGTGAACAATAGGAATACCCAATCCGTGGTTCGGTCCCGCAAACGCCAATCCGCTTTAGTATCGATTCGAATTCGCTTTGCAAATACGTCAGTAGGCCCGTCTATCGTATTGGTTGTTTACTGCATTCCACGCCTTTTCCTGTGAGAGCGGGGCGCTGATCTCTTTGAGGATACGCCTGACCTGGTAGTACACGTGAAACGTGAACACAGACTGACTCAGCGGTCCACGCCTAGTGTCGGATACACCACACCCCGCTGTAGCGCACTACACGCGGTTGAGTTGATTCTGCCAGAACTGCATCGGGTTGTTGAACCAAGCGTGCACTGTCTTAACGCTAGTCACCGAAAACTTATACTTATCGAACACATCTATGAACTGGGCGTCAAATACAATCCATCAGCGAACCACGATCTTCATGTTTTAAAACTATTATATAATGAGTTTATATAACATGTACATAACACTTCCAGGAATAACGAGCGGCGAGGCCGCTCAGCTGACGACGCATCGATAACACGCCGGGTCAACTCGAAATAGCACTGTGCGATATAACCTACCTACCACGATGGACTAACATCAACGCTTAACAACAATAAACTGTTCGTAGGTGGCGCTTAGCAACAAGATAATTGACGGTTACTACAGCGCAGTGCTCTCTAAGCGACGAGGTATTCAAACCATTGGGAGCCGAACTCAAGATGAACGACTCAAACGGTACAGTGGTGTTAATCAACAACGGAAGAAACTCCTGGCGGCTAGGTCGACCATTGGCTAGAACACTCGGTATGCCGCCTGACGAGGTAAAACCAACGACTACAGTCACAGGCACTAAGTTACCCGACTTAGTACCGCATCGAGAGCTGTGCATTCATCTCAACCAGGTTAGCACAACGGACAATATTCAAGGAGGTCACCCTTCCACTATACTTAGAGCAGTGCCGTTAAACGGAGAAATACAACGACGGCAGAACCGAAGTCGCTTTCAACGTGGCAATATAAGAGGTTAACCCAGGGCAACATCCCTGAGCTGATAATATCGGTGTTAGATATAAATCATAATCTCGTGAATATAGGATACCTCAGCTTAACGCTGCACATAAAATGACCAGCGACAAGGTCCCGGAATGAAGTTGAAAAAATGCATCAATGTGGGGATCTCCGATCCGGGACACACGCCGATTCGACGACACGAAGTAGATGGTAAAGTGTACGCCTTGCAACTTAAAAACAGCATTTATAAACGCGTTGAAGTTTCCAGTGGTACTAGCAACCTAAGCGATATAGTAGATACCTCAAGAGCGGCAGTCAACACTAAGTACACCCTTGTCACCACCGGGATGATAACTGGATGATATACCCATACGGGGCAAACTGTTCGACTTAACCGATGTTGAGAGCACTACCGTCCGCCTCAAACAAGCCGTGATACGCCAAGCTTTCACCGATGATGACAAGTGGGTGTTATTACCGGTAAAGTCGACTGGTTTCTCAATATTAGACTCGGCTCCCCTACGTGTTTACGGATAACAAAGACAACCACCTAAACAAAGTCGCGTGAACAACGGAACCCTGCTTTCGTGGCTTTACATCCCGACTCAGAGACGAAGCGTGAGTCATCAGCCCACTCGCCAGTATGGCAGCCCACATGCTATCGAGTAAAGCGGGGATGCAAAACGCGGTATTGCAGTTGGTGTCTGAATTCGAAGGTGTGGTCAGGATCCTGGAGAGTCTACCGCTTAACTCAACACTGGTCATCCAAGTCTACCTAGGGAACCATCGCGAATGATGTAGAGATCGTGAGGGGGTCAAACCCGGGGGAAACAACAACAGTATCACGCTTGCAACGCTACGCATGGGTGGGTGTCGACTCAAAACCAGTCTGCAGGGTGTCACCGTGGTCGTGGAAGACACTATATCACTAACCAAGATATTCCTACCGACAACATACACTTCATGGGGTGAAGTGCACCCTGAACTATTATCAGAAAACCAGTTGGAAATTATCTCGTAATAATATAGCAATGTCTTGATTCGCCAACACTACGATTAACCACTTAGGGGACACGGAGGGATTCGATCAGCCTGGTGAGGAAGACACCTTATACATCCTGCACTTGAAAGACAACGTATAGGCGGTGTCGCTTATCAGATTTTAAAGAGCCTGAATGGTTAGTCAACTTAACCCTCACCTCACCTTATATCTCCCTGAAACAAAAGAATACTATCTCCCAGATTAGGAACAACGGTATGATTATAGGATCGCTTCGTTCGAATCTAGTGTACAAGTCATACCAATACCAGACCACTTTCGGCAACATGTTAGCTTCAGACAGTGGGAGGGTAAAGATAGAGATCAAATTACTCGACAACCAAGAGGTTTTAGAAATGTTGCGGAAAACTTCACATTCATCATAGACGCCTATCTCGGAGATATAAGTTTGACTAGTAGTTATATTAGCATTATAGATGATATGGTGATAGGTTGGGAAGCCAGGTGTAATAACCAACGTTGTATTATTAAGGTATCAGGAAACACCCTGTACCAACCCTTGATGGGGTTCGCCTCTTTAATGGACGTGAGCTAAGACCCGCTTTTTACACATCGCTAATCTAAGTATTATCGGCTTTAAGTACATTAATCGAAGGTTAAATGAAACCCAATTAAAAATATATTATGGGATTGAGCTATATCCCTGAATTAGTACCAGAACACTAGTTGGAAATTATATCGTAATAGTATTATAGAAATGTCTTGGCTTCACCCCAACACTAATGCTTTTAACGATCTAGGGACACGGAGGGATTTGATAAGCCTGGTCATAAAACACCTCATACGCCCTATTATTTAACAACGGTGTGTACATAATGCAGGACCTGGCAGTCTTTAAAGAACCTAAATGGGTGATCAACGCGACTACCACCGCACCTTATATCTCACTAGACAAAGATGGTTATGTCTCTGAAATTAGGAACAACGGTACCTTGCTCACGTCTTTCATTCCAACTGAAAGGATGATAGTTTCTAACTCTGAATATTGGCCTAGGGACACCCTGTTAATTTCAGCCAGGAAGTCTCAGTTAATAGCCACCCACCACCATCATTCCATAATAGGGGTTAGGGTATGGAAACAAACTCCACACTCATCGTGAGAAGTCGGTTACAAGGATAAGTTTGATTTGGATGACCTTGACCCATCCCCAAACTTGGAACTTTTACCTGGTGTAACAATACGTTGGGGTAACGACCCCCTTAACATCAGGTTTTATCTTGCATATTCGCGGATATACGATTGGGGACTCCCAACAGGGATTACTACCCCCATAATAAACTGCAATGATGTTGAGATAGACCAAAAGTTACCTATTGACCCTTCCCGTATCTACACATATGAGAATCTAAGTTTTATAAGCCTCAGGTACGTTGGCCAACTATTAAGTGATGCCCAATTAAAATATCTTTTGTAATATATATTATAGGATGGGACTGTATCCAGGCATAGATGAAGTAGTAAAGACCCTGGAAACCGTGAGACGGGTTTAAGCTTGAGACAATTATGTGATGTAAGACGCCAACTAGAACAAGATCGTGATAAGCGGAAAGCACTGTGTAAGAAGTACCATAGAGCTTTCAACATCGTGGATGGGGCCGATACTACCCTGATGGCAACTAGCATGGGACTAGGGGTGGCAGGTGTTGGGTTGCTGACAACCATCGTGGCCGCACCCATAGTGTTGGGTATTGAAATAACGGCTGGGGTGTCAGGGTTGGCTGGATTGGTATTTAAGTTTGTTTCTCGCAGACTGCAACGTAAGGCATTGAAGCATGATGAGATCAGAGTTCTGGCTGAAGCAAAGCTTAACACAATAGATGATCATATTTCCACGGCACTCACTGATAACAAAATCTCGGAGGAGGAGTTTCGTTTAGTCCTCTCTGAACTCGCAAAATATCATAGAATGAAACAAGAAATCCGGTCCAAGTCTCGTAAAAGTACTACTATCAGCGAAGACGAGAAAAAAAAGTACATAGAACAGGGGGTACGAAAAGCCCAGCAAGCTTTCATTACCAACACCAAAGAGATCCTAGGCGATTCACGTTAAACTGTTTCGTCGAGGTCAACGTGACATAGCGGCATGTTGACATAGATAAAACGAACTACTTGATGGATGGTCCCGGCAGAGGGTTTGTGAGAGAAGAATTATTGATTGTACCGTATGGCACAATGCTACCTCCTACCAACACGACATAGAGGTAAGATACCAACGTCCGCTATAGTAGCGTCCCCGACTAAAGTCTTATTTTATGAAATAAAGCTTTATAGTAGATGGTAATGGGAAGGGTCTGACTAAGGCTTCATCTATTAAATGAAGCTTTAGATTACCCTGATCCCGTACCACCATCCTGTCTACTACTTCAGTGAAATTTCCCATATGGTGACCCTATATCTTCATACACAGCGTGATGGTGTAACAATTGTTCCTGACAACGAGGATGACCAGCATTAAAGTTTTCCCTTGCACAATTTCAAAGGCTGAGTAACCACGTAACTTAATGATAACTAGGTTTTTTATTCTTTTACATTGGTCCAATATATGAGGCTGTATACATAACAAACCCACCTGGTCCACATGGGTCATCTGTCGTTATTTTCCAACAGCATCTTATTCCTCCATCAGTGCGATGCTTTTGGCCTGCTTTACATTCAAGCGTGAACCTTTGTTCTGAAGAAGTATTGATGCAGAGATGAGAAATCAGGATGACTTGAATGAAATAAGAACTGTACATTTGGAATAACACAGTAAGCACCACACATATATTTATATATCAGTATACATGTTCTCCCACGATGCAGAATTATAGTAATTGATCAGACTGAGAAATATGTAGTGAGTGAGTTTGGTTTCACGCCACTTTAGCAATATTCCAGCAAAGGTGCCATCTTTATTCCATCGAGGTGCAATGCTGCTCAGAAACCAAGTCAACAATCCATCGAGGTACAATGCTGCTCAGAAACCAAGTCAACAATCCATCGAGGTGCAATGCTGCTCAGAAACCAAGTCAACAATCCATCGAGGGTACAATGCTGCTTAGAAACCAAGTCAACAATCCATCGAGGGTACAATGCTGCTTAGAAACAAGTCAACAATCCATCGAGATACAATGCTGCTCAGAAACCAAGTCGCCAAGTCTGATAAAGGCCAGCACAGGGTGCTTAGGATGCGCCACAATAGGAAGTTGACTAACATTCATCTTTGAAATCAACATGTTTTACAGGAAAAACAGTTACTAAATTATAATCATAAAATGTAATGAAAGGAGCCCAGACACCTTCATTTTCAGAAGAAACTGTTTTAAGCTAGACTTTCCACATAACCTACACTTGTGTGGACTTTCTTGGATATATTTGTTTAAGCCAGACCAATTTTATTTCTTGTTTTACTTGATTTTGGTCCCCAGGAAACCTAAAGGCAGGATGGAAAAATATAAAATAAAATCACCAGTCAAAGTAATATTTCTTTTAAATATTAAAAGTATTTTACTACTGGCAATTTATGAAGTTTATATGGGGCAAGATATAATCTGAAAAAATTTCTTGTAAGTTTACCTTTTGGCCAATAAAAACATCAGAATTTTTTGATGGTTTTTATTCTTATTCTTGAAAAAATGACCAGCGGATCCGTAAAAGAAGAAATAAAATTGGTGTGGCCTATAAGGGTCTGAATGACAGATTAAGCCCCCCCCACCCCCACCCCAATGTCTGTATCCAGGAACCCCGAATCTAATTCCTATCCTAACTCCTTCCGATGACTGGATTGCATTGAATTGGCATAATGGGCTCTTACTGACAAAACCTGCAAAATAAATAACATAAATAATGATTTGATATAGAAATCTTTCAATGTTTCATCACAAGGCATTGTCACTACATGATATGGTACGTGCCTAAGTAGGAGGGAAGTCAACTCCACACAGCACAAACTGTTCCTCTTGGTAATACACCATGTAACTGAATCATATCGATGACACTGATATAATTGATTCACCACAAATCCATATTAGAAGTCCGACTGCTAAACAGATAATTCCCAATTTCGCCATGACTAAAACCTGGAAACAGATGTAAAGATGTTTAATTCAGAGTGACTCAGTCAGTGGTTAGGAGAGCATGTGAGTTTAGCTTGGCACTGATTTAATAAAAAATTCAGCTATCATTTTGTTTGGTGGGGAGGAGTATACAGTTATAGATAAGGTCCCGAAAATTACTGGCAGAAAACACCAGCAGAAACAGCTCCAGGTTACCATGTGACCATGTCCATCTAACTTTGAGAAACACTGAATGACCAGTTTCCCCTGGACGGTAGCTCCATGAACGCTTGAGTTAATTAAATTACGACAGGTGATGAATGCAGGGCTTGACCTCATCAAGCAGAGTCCCTCCCGTCAACCTGCCCCAAGCATAGCCCCTACCCCAGCCGAATTTCTCCCAGTCCTTTCAGGACATGTAACCCACGGTGCAACCATAGCTACTAACTATTTTGTGCCAGGCAAAACAGGTTGCACTCTGCTGCTTAATTTAAAATTATACACAAAGAAAAAAGTTCAGCACCCTGATATTTTTTCTATGAATTTTTCCCCATTATTTGAAATAGTGATACAAGGTATAATTATGGGAAAGAGTAGAGTTTTATGCGTGAAACTTATATAACCAGTGATGCTTTTACAATCCCACTCGTGGATTGTAGCGCTATATCGTTTTAAATAACCCACTTCGCCTAACTGTGCTCGTTGGGATGTGTAATACGATATCCAGAGTACATGTTTTGCTCAAGTAGAAATCGGGCAAAACTTAGATAAAATACTTAATAGTTGCTGAAAATAGATCAGACTTCTCCGAATTGGTAATGGAGGTCGCCAGCCAGGTATGACGACGGACCGCCTCATCTATTGATTAACATATTATAAGCTTTTCTTTCATATTAATGGCGAGAGATAAACGTAAAGAGTATGATACCCCAAAACCAGCAGAAACGCGATGTAGTATATATAGGTGGCATGACCACCCGAAGATTGACAGGACTGGATATTATTTGTAGAATTGTTATGACGGCCGATGGTTGCCTCCCTTGTGCATAATTGTCTCTAAAGGATTATCTATCATCTAGCTGATATCTCTATCCCCAAGCCCGACCCCAGGTTTCTTGTTTCTTTTCTGACGGCCCTCCCATCTGTTTCTTTTTTATAGTGACAGTGAGAGTGCATGGTAGCTACATCCTTACTAGTTTCGCATAAAAGTTATTTATTTGTTACTAGCCAGCTATCGAACATAATGAATCTTACATCTAATTTCAAATTGGGCATTTTAAAAGCGTCCTTTGTAATACAATATCGTCATTAACACTAATTTGCATAGGGAGCCATGGTCTGTTCCAAATAATTTTTTGGAAAAACGCATTGCCTATTTCTACACTAATTTACCCTCCTCAGTAGCAGTCCTTTTCCGCTTTCCTATCTCTACCAATCGTAGACTGTAGTGAGGTCGAATCCTAGTTTAACATATTTCACACTTTCACATATCAACTACATAAAATTGTAGAGATAAAAGAGAAAATACAGTTTTTTTCTATTTCCAACAGTACTATGAGGAATCAGATTATTGGTATGCATACAAGCAGGAATGTCCTTTAAGGTGATTGGACGAAATCTACAATTACAATCAAGCAGCTAGCCATGTTTAGTCCGGAAACATGGGTTTGACCAGAAGCGCAATGGACCGTCCAAGGTCTGAAGGCTATCCTGCCACTTCCATCGCGGTAAAGAGAACAGACAACTGATACCACATGCACGCCGAGAACCCTTCAGTACAAGTCATCAGCTGGAAAGACTCAGGGTACTCCAATCTAATTCCATCAGCACTACAGAAATCAGCTCAGAAGTCAGCTCAAAGCGGCAGGATTGGACGGCCAGAAGTCATTAAACGCCCCTTGACAGAACCATCATAAACGCACGCTTGATTAACATGGTGCTTGGCCAGACTCCACACTGGAATCTACCTGAGGACCTGAAGGAAAATCCATTGGTCGGATCTAGAAGTCAGCTTCTTACTTCATGTTACTGATGGACGTACAGGTGTTTGGAAGCATAAGAACAGAGGTTATACCCCCAGGGTGCCGCTAGACAAAAGCGCATCTTAGCACTAAGGGTGGCCGTGAACTCATACCTTAACATAGACTCAAAGATTAGTCGTAGTGCTAAGGTGGTCATTAATTCACATACCTTAACATAGACTCCTAAGGCAGTCGCAATGTTAAGGTGACTGTGAACACACATACCCTACATAGGCTTACAGGTAGTCGTGAGTGCTAAGGTTGTTTTGTACAACTGCACCCAGGAACGATTCTGTCAACTGTGTTGCCTATGGAGGAGCATTCGTCATGTAGTTATTGGGGATGCCTCTCCTCACGATTGCAAGCTGGATTTGGTCACCATTCGGGCAACTTTAACGAGAGCAATGCAACCGGGACGCCCCACAGCCAGTCGCATTCTCATTTTCTACAACCATCCACTTGCTTTACACTAATTCTCAGGACATGGATCTATAATGTTGTACCCTCAGTCATGTGCCCTAGTGGATTACATGAAGAACCAATGCAGTGGCCAGCGTTAAAGCTTAGATCTGAACCCTCTGGAGCATGTGTGGACATAGGGCAGGGCTTAATCCAGGCAGGGGACCCTCCAGTCGCAGAATTTACATCCGCCGGAGGCAGCTCTGCATGCTGAGTGGCTGTTATTGACCCGAGAACAGATCCCGACGCCTGACTGGAAGGCATGAGACGGCGGGGTGGAATGTGTCATCCAGAAATGTGGCCGAGTCCAATCTGCACTGATTGAGTCTCATTTTCATGTGACAATATCGAAATGCTCAACACAGTTTCATTGACTTTGCACCTCCATGCTTTTTGGGGGTTTTGTTTCGGGTAAAACAGTATCTGTGATAACATGACGCAATGGCTATTAAATTCTAACCACAGCTCACAGATGAAACTTGTTCTATCAAAGATGGCATTTGATTGATTTTGTACATGAGCATTTGGGGGGGGAGAAAGTTATTTTGTAGCCATAAATTTTTAGTGGGGGAAAGTCATACTGTAGCTATGCTTCTCCATAAAAATCATCATCACACCCCTGCCTTTAAAATAATGAACGGGTCCTTTAATTCTGCAAAAAAACACAAATATTTTGCTGCACAGTCACATGAAATCGACAGACCAACTGATGATTTGTCTCACGAGGGGAACACTTGCTTTTAGAACAGCCAGGTGCACAGTGAGCCAGTCCAGCCAGGTAATCAACAAGCATGTGTAATGAAATTTCTTCATTTCACATACTTACATGTGCAACTCGCGCACCTGGCTGTTCTACTACCAGCAAGTGCCCCTCTACCCCATCCCCCGTGCATGGTCATCATGTTAAATCCGCGCCTGCCGGGCAGATCATATCAGTGAGTGAGTGAGATTAGTTTTACGCGACTCATAAATATTCCAGCTATATGGCGGCGGCTCCTGTAAATAATCGAATCTGGACCAGACAATCCAGTGATCAACAGCATGAGGCATCGATTCGCTAATCGGGAACCGATGACAAGTTTGATAACACCACCGCAAGATCTACCTTTTCATTAGTAATTAATTCAGATATCTT